GGATAATTCCAAGACAAATAATTTTCCCGCAATTGTTTTTAATAAATATAAATGAGTCATATATTTGTATTGCTTGAAGTTTTGAAATAAAGCCATTTTCATGCAAGTAGCACTTTAATGACATTCGTTTGAGGGCAAAAACAAAGAGTTGCAAATAGCATTCTGTACTGTCCGTATCAAAGTTTTTGTATGTAAAAGTGACACCATACGTGGTTAAACATACTACTTTTTAAAAGCAAAAAAAGTCGCTGCGCATTAGGTGTTGCGGCAACGGGAAATGATCAATCGAAATCATACACATACATCATTGATTCCTGTACAGTCCAGTACAAAAAGTTCCATAGGAATCGACAGATCCATCGATGCTGCAGCTTGTGACAATGCGTACAATTTCTTCAGCTCTCGGCCATACTGCAATAATTGATGGTCGCCAGAAATAAAGTTTGTTGTTCGTCGGTCGGAATCACGGCTTAGTAGATACTTGTAAAATGTGTAAACAGACCTGAACCTGTCATGAAGGGAAAATAAAAAACTTAAACACAATTTTCTCCATGGGGGACTTGTTAATTAAATAAGATAAGACTTACATAAAACATAAACAATTAAAAAGTTTAATAGTTAAATAGTGAACGGGTCGCCGTCTTTCAAATATTATAGAATTTCAAAAGAAATGTTNTGATGACATCAAGTTGTTAACTCATTGATAATACAAAATTGCCCGATTGTTTATTGTCACCTTATTGTTTTGTAGAAGATATTTGTTATGTAATCAAAAACAATCTTTCACAGTTTGACATGGGTAAACTTGGAACACTTGTTACAAAACACAGTTGAAATTTTATAGAGTACACAAAATGATGTCATCAAATTAGCATAATGGATTTTTAACTCCGATTTTCTCTGAAATTTGAAGCCCTGTATCAAGTGGTAATTAACCAAGCTTTTATTCTTGAACTATTAACTCTATTTTTCAAATAAAAAAATTCGTGTCATATGCACTTTAAACATACTACTTTTTAAAAGCAAAAAAGTCGCTGCGCATTAGGTGTTGCGGTAACGGGAAATGAACAATCGAAATCATACACATACATCATTGATTCCTGTACAGTCCAGTACAAACAGTTCCATAGGAATCGACAGATCCATCGATGCTGCAGCTTGTGACAATGCGTACAATTTCTTCAGCTCTCGGCCATACTGCAATAATTGATGGTCGCCAGAAATAAAGTTTGTTGTTCGTCGGTCGGAATCACGGCTTAGTAGATACTTGTAAAATGTGTAAACAGACCTGAACCTGTCATGAAGGGAAAATAAAAAACTTAAACACAATTTTCTCCATGGGGGACTTGTTAATTAAATAAGATAAGACTTACATAAAACATAAACAATTAAAAAGTTTAATAGTTAAATAGTGAACGGGTCGCCGTCTTTCAAATATTATAGAATTTCAAAAGAAATGTTTGCCTGGGATCCAGTGCCTTCGCACTCTTCTCGTCCGCAAAGCTACTCAGAAACGACTGAAGGTCGAGATGCCTCCGCACCATGTTTAACCCACTTAAACATGCGTACTCGTGTAATTCTCATGGCATTCTTATTGCTTTAAGAACTATCACCTTACCCACAACTCCTTGTCAGCCTCACAAATTATATACCGACTTTTACATATTATATTAAATTATATACCGAGTTTTACACAAAAGAGGAAAATTATTCTGAAGTCTATGACTACTGTTTGCATAACTATTCCTTCAAGGTCAACCGTCGGTAAATCACAGCCATTTGAAGTAAGAAAAAGAAGTTTGCTTACTTTGTTGGACCAGCGCTGTTTTTATTGACAATGGCGGCGAGTCKAGCCTTTGCGTCCAGTACACGTTCTTCATCTAGACTAACACTGGACARTAGTTTATGCTTCATCCACTCTTCTTCGTAAAACAACTGATTCTCAACACGTTTAAGACCCCGTACACATGTGACAATGTTATCCACAATCGAGAAGAACGCTTCTGTCATCTCTGAGAATCTTGGTGCAAATGAGATTGTTTCCTCTTCCATATCTGGAACCTTGATAAGTTTAAAATGACAAAAAATAAAAACAAATTAGTACATTTTCTGCGAATAAAGAAAAGTCAAATTGTTTGATTTTTGTTTACCATTTACAACTATAGTTGACGTGATGATGCGATTGTCACTTGTAATATTGACTATTCTTAAAATTGCAGTTACAGGCGGGAATAGCCTCAAATCTATGTGTCAATTGATTGTTTATTCTATTGTTCTCTTTCCTAGAAACGAGGTTATGCAAATTCTTCTTCGAATGGCCTACGACTGATGCACACGACTCACGACACGAGCTGTAGTGGCTTTTAATTGTAGGAAAAAATCGTAGTAGGCCAATGGTAGATAAAAAAAATGTCGTGTAAATCATCCTTTATCTACACCACTACTCACCACTGTTAAGATTAACAATTGAGGTAAAACAGGAAGAGATCTAACAAAGTCCCCATCATAGTCATTGCCGTGCTTGTACGTCTCTATGAATTGCAGGAAATCCTGAAGTGATGCGTATACAGCGCTGCGAAGGTTGTTTGACATCAAACAGGCGACAGAAGCAAAGAAATGATCCATGGCTGCAGCTCTTAAGTCCTAAAAAGAACGATGGTGGTTAGGTTAGGATGGTGGTTAGGACTCGTACGGAAGGACTGACTGACTGACGAGCGAACGGTGTGAATTATTGACTGAAGGAGCGACAGATGGATGTGGAGACGCTCAATAACGGACAGACTGACTACATGATTGACTGACGGATTGATGATGGACTGTCTGCATGACTGAATAACTGACTTTATGACTCACTGAAGGACGTACTGACTACATGATTGACTGACGGACGGACGGACGGATGGACTGTTCGTATGACTGACTGACCGAGATTGTGACTCACTAACGGACGGACTGACTACATGATTGACTGACGGACGGACGGACGGATGGACTGTCTGTATGTCTCAGGACATACAGACACTCAATNCTGAGAATCTTGGTGCAAATGAGATTGTTTCCTCTTCCATATCTGGAACCTTGATAAGTTTAAAATGACAAAAAAAAAAAAAAAAATTAGTACATTTTCTGCGAATAAAGAAAAGTCAAATTGTTTGATTTTTGTTTACCATTTACAACTATAGTTGACGTGATGATGCGATTGTCATGTTCGACTTGTAATATTGACTATTCTTAACTAAATTGCAGTTACAGGTGGGAATAGCCTCAAATCTATGTTTAAATTGATTGTTTATTCTATTGTTCTCTTTCCTAGAAACGAGGTTATTCCCGCCTGTACCGGAAGTTTAAGGATAATCCATACGACTCTAATATGTAAATTCTTCTTCGACTGGCCTACGACTGATGCACACGACTCACGACATGAGCTGTAGTGGGTTTTAATAGATGAGGTGACGGTTTTGTCCGCCATTTTGGACCGGTAGGCATAGTGTCGCAAAAAAACAAGGAATGACCGGGAAATCGATGTCAAATAATTCTCGCTGAATTCAAATTCAGAAAGAATTATCATTTGCAAACGTTAGATACTGCAAAAAGGAGTTAACTGGCCAAATTTTAAAGGCGTACTTGATCTAGAGAGCGAGTAAACTCATTTTTAGTTCTCCATACATTTCTTTGTAATTTCAATACATTTCGTTATAATTTCCGGGGTCATCAGTGCGTGACGCGCGTGAAAAATACAAAGAAATGTATTGAGAACTAAAAATAAATTTTCTCGCTACCTAGACGAAGCACATCCTTCAAATTTGGCCAGTCAGCTCCTTTTTGTAGTATCTAACGTTTGCAATTTGAATTCAGCGAGAATTATTTGACATCGATTTCCCGGTCATTCCTTGTTATTTTGCGACACTATGCCTACCGGTCCAAAATGGCGGACAAAACCGTCACCTCATCTATTGTAGGAAAAAATCGTAGTAAGCCAATCGTAGATAAAAAAACATGTCGTGTAAATCATCCTTTATCAACACCACTACTCACCACTGTTAAGATTAACAATTGAGGTAAAACAGGAAGAGATCTAATAAAGTCACCATCATAGTCATTGCCGTGCTTGTACGTCTCTATGAATTGCAGGAAATCCTGAAGTGATGCGTATACAGCACTACGAAGGTTGTTTGACATTAGACAGGCCACAGAAGCAAAGAAATGATCCATGGCTGCAGCTCTCAAGTCCTAAAAAGAACGATGGTGGTTAGGTAATATAATTAAAGACTGACTCACTGATGCATGACCGACTCTTACGGAAGGACTGACTGACTGACGAGCGAACGGTGTGAATTATTGACTGAAGGAGCGACAGATGGATGTGGAGGACAGACTAAGTGACGTACGGACGCTCAATAACGGACAGACTGACTACATGATTGACTGACGGATTGATGATGGACTGTCTGCATGACAGAATAACTGACTTTGTGACTCACTGACGGACGTACTGGCTACATGATTGACTGACGGACGGACGGACGGACGGACGGACGGACGGACGGACGGACGGACGGACGGATGGATGGACTGCTCGTACGACTGACCGAGTTTGTGACTCACTAACGGACGGACTGACTATATGATTGACTGACGTACGCAGGATGGACTGTCTGTATGTCTCAGGACATACAGACAATCAATATGACGAACGGACTTACTAACTGGGCGACTGACGTATATTGAATACGGCATACAGTACAATGAAATTCATTGTTAAGCCATATGTAGTTGTGCTAATTTCTACTCTCAATTCTGAATTCCAATGATGTCGTACCTCATTCTCAGGCATCGCATCCTCAACTTCGTCTCTACGATCACTAATAACTTTGACACACGACGGAATCCACTCATCACGTAGTATCGAAGCTCCACGTTCACATGACTGTTGTACGTGGCGTGTAAGTTGGTCTTTAGTCAACGGTGCGGAAGATAACAGATCACCGATGTCKATTAGACGTAGGTCAGAGTATCTGAAGAAGAAACAACGTGTTAATTTTTCGGTCCGGTTTACTTTGGATTGCGCTATCTGATTGACAGGCGCGCGGTCTGGGTTTTCGCGATCTTATTTCCGGTTCTTTTAGATTTAAGCGGAAAAAAAAATTAAAAAATCCTGCGACAAAAATAAATAAGAATTCAACGACCCAATATCGGTCCAGCGACCTTGGTCCGCAAATSAAGACCTCCATCAGTTTCTTACTATAAAAGTAAAAAATAACATATAATATGTACAAATTGTTAAAAATAGTTAATTATACTATAATCAAAATGAAAATATTTACAATCTATATTCGAGCAATGCGCTGAGATTAAAAATTTAATGCTGGAGAAATCTCCTTTCATAAAAGTTAAAAACGGTATTATAGAACTTTTTCCAGTATCATGTCTGCTCTATAACAATAATATCATGCCACGTTTTACTTGGTCACATAAAATAGCAGAAAATAAGGTAGCTTKTACTTACTTTGTATGCCAAAGGAATAGAAGTTCTCTCAAAACAGGGTGCGTCACGTACAAATCACTACATAAAAATTCTCTTGATGAAACAACAGAATCGTGCCATGGAAAGCTATCTCTACCAGCCGGGAAAATAACCTAAGAATAACAAAAAAAGATATCATGTACTCACTCATAAGGTTCAAGGGATAGACCTTAGATTTGATAAAATGAGGAAGGACTGGTACTTACAGGTTCTGGCATATGTAGACCCAATCTCCGCTGCTCTGAAGGATCAAGTAGTACATAGTCCAGAATGCCTTGCTTGACACTTTGAACGTAGTTCTCCTCCATTTCCTGAATCATATCAAATGGAGTTTAACTAAGGCTCTGTCCACTAAAGAAACATTTTTTTATAGCATTTTGTTCCTGCAGTTGCTTTTGCCCCATGTAAGAGAATTTTGAATTCCAAATAAAACATTCTTTGGAATCCAGAATCTTGCTTGGAGTCTGGAATCCAATGTAGGATCCCGCGATTGGAATCCGGAATCCTCTAGTTCTCTGGATTCTCTTTCATGGGGTGATTTCTTGAAAACAAGAATAAAATAAACATAAAATATACCAATTAAGCTTCTAATGTTCAAACTTTCTATTTTTGCATGTATGGCTCGAAATATTTGCAAAATCATATTTCTCATAGTTAGTACACAGATTTTGTATAACCACGCAATATATCACAAAACGGTAATGGAACTTTGCCTGCATGGTAAGCATGACATCATTAACAGATCACAGTTGATAAAAGTACTACCATTTTTGCACACAAATATTACGAAATCTGCTCTATCAATTACTGTGTGCAAAAAAATACCACATATTGTTTCCATGACTACCTGGTCCAATTCATACAGAGTTTCTTTGAATGATTTCAGTTTGTCCAGTAATAGGCCATGTGTGTTCTTCTTCCATTCAGCACTCAAAGGTGCAACCATGTGAGCACCAATRGCATTTTCAATAAGGCTATAATACCTAGTGAGTGAGAAAAGTGAAAAAAAAATCCATGTCAGAGGACTTACATTTACCATTACAGTTTGTTTATTATTCAAGACATTGCTGTAGAATCATGCAGTGCAACAGGCTGCCGCACATGCCTTAACTTTTTGTAATATATTGCACCAACTTGTATCTCTCCTTCACTGACAGCTGTCTCCATGAATACATGAATAAGTTTTTAACAAAAACCCCTGCTACACTATGCAATTCTCCACACACTTGATGAGCAAACTAATCTATCTTGAGTCAAGATGAAATGGTAACAAAGCCTTTACTCCTACATTTATTTTACAAAGAAGTAAGCTGCTATATTTTGTACCTTTTTGCCTGTGATTCTGGTGGAGTCACAGCTCTCGGCAGACCAAGTGTTGGAGTCAAAGAAGCAGGAGGAAACTTGATATTMAGTACTGCAATTGTTTCCTCGTCATAGTCCCTCCCAGTGACTGAAGAAGCTTCATTTGTCGTCTCTTCTGTAACTTCCTTAAGCTCTGTATCTAAATCCTCAATTACATCTTCATTGGTAGAAATAGCAGCCCCCTGAGATGAGCCCCAGGCTACCCTTGTTCTTTTAGAATGTGGTGACCCACTTTCTCCGTCACCATGGTARCCACTGTCTCGCACATCGGAACTGAGAATTGACTCAGACTGACCAGCAGACTGTACTCTYTTTAACTTTGGAGGTTTAGTATGTGATAGTGTTGAGCTGTCKAGTCCTATTTCTTTATTTTCTGTTGTATCTAGYTCACTTTTGGTCCCTTTTACTCTAGTTGGACTAATGTGCTGAAAACGTCCCTTGGTGACAAAGCCCATGCTTGTAAATGTGCCACCTGGGGTTTTAGAAGTTGCTCCTTCAGACAAAACAGAAAATGTCCCTGCAGGGACAGAATGTGAGYCATTTATGTTGTGTAATACTTTAATRTCTTCTTTGACAATAAATTCTTGTTTTTTCTTTGTGTTGATAGTTTTCCTGCCTGGTGGAGCRCTAGAATTTTTCTTYCTCTTGTAAATAATATGTGTTGAGAGACCTTGAGCYGAGGGACTGTAGTTGTTGGCAACAGAATCACTGTTTGAAAATTAAAAYAACTTTTATTAATAAAAGCAATAAATGGCCAGACTCATGCTTTACAGGGTAAGTCTGGTTGTAAGCGATTGTTCGGATTGATAAGATGGCATCTGGACAATAAATGTTTTTGATAGTGCAATATGTTTGACTTTAGTGTATATAATGAAGATAACAAAAAAGCTGTCACCGATTTATTTATTTCAAGGATTAAAATCAATTACAATGCAATGAAAAGCAAAATGTTATGRATTGCAAAATGTCAGATTACATGTGGATGACATTATTACCCAAATAAGAAGTTAATAGAGAAATGTGAAGGCACTTGCAGTCATTTTCAATTCATGGAAATGGAATTAATGTTAATCAAGCAGCCAATGGCAGCATAACTCGGAGATTGATACAGAACGATAGATGTACGATGAATCAAATTATAATTACTTTAACAATTACAATTTTAAGTAAACGATTTATGAAATTTTTTCGTTACAATCTTACTACTTAAAACTAAAAGTTTGACATCGTGGCCTAGTGGTTAAAACACAGGCTTACTGATCAAGAGGTCACGGTTCGAATCCCAAATGATATCGTATGGTTTTTTTTCTTTTTTTTGTTCTTTATTATTATTTTTTATTATCATTTATTATTTTTTCCAGCAATTCTTTAAGAATGCTTACTCCGTAACGGTGAATTAAACAACTGAAAGTTGGTTCAATTGAATCCCCGACCAACTATACGCACCGTTCCTTTTATTGTTTGCCAGTTTCCGTAGCGGCTCAAAATAGTATTATCGATGTCTAACCACACAATGAACTATGTATCAAATATTACAATGTAATAGTACGGTAGCGAGCGAATATATTTTTTGAATTGTAGACGAACGTGTATAAATAAAACACACATAAAATGATTTTCGAGACGAATTTAATGTCGGATCGGCGAGTCTTCCTCATGCTTCCTTTGTGACTGAACAATACAACGAATCAAATTAGATTTACTTTACAAATAGAATTTTATGTAAACGACATTTGAATGCAGATTTTTTCGTTAAAATCTTATAGTTTTAACTTCGAATTCTAGACAAGCACGGGCGAGCGCCCATCABTTAAAACACAAGTCTACCCGATATCATGTCACATTAGCACGCGTGGCCTAATCGGTAGTGCCTTTGATTTCCAATCCAGCGGGCCCGGGTCCAGATCCCAGGTGACCCATTTCTTTGATTTCTTTATTTGCCAAAAAATAAATCATTTTCAATCAGATATAGCACAGGGAAACCAGTAAAGAAAAATTAGATATGATAAATAATAATTAAGTAGAATACATTAATATAATTAAATGAATAACTGCTGACAAAGACATCGCAGGCTCGAGTTTACAGGAAAGTGATCGAGCGAGTGACAGCCGTTCCCTCCCAATAACTCTACGATTGCTACACAATCTCCGAGTTAAAAAAGGATAAAGAAGGCAATAACAAATGAAAACCTTCCTTCTGTTTTGCTTCTTTCATCTCCTTAGCTGAATTATTGCACTGGTTCCTCAGAGCACAATATTATTTGCTATTATGATAATTTAACTCTCAAACAATTAAGATTTATATCAATTAAATTGTTAATTCAAGTACCTGGCATGTCTATAATATTGCTTTTCCTTTGTTGGGGATGCTTTAGTGTAAGCACCATATTCTACAATCTTGGGTTTATTGCTGTAGGCAGGCTGWAAAGAACCAATTATTGATTCAGAAAAAAAATAGTTAAAATGAAAATTAATTAAACAACAACTTGCTGCATGAAGTACAGCATTTTATAAATTTAAGCTGCATATTTTGCATGGCAAAGTGWAAAAACCTACAAAACATTTATTCTCTAATATGCTATAATTTTCTCAATTCAATACTTGCAAAATAGGTAAAATTCCTGTGACATGCCATATTGCTGTTGATCTGTGCAATTGCACAACAAGTAATCTGCTTAAGTACTGATGCATCCCTCTTAACTACACCAAGGCCCTTTAGTACACTGTCCTTTATATTAAACCAAGTATAGTTTGTAATAAAAATGTAAGACAAAGTATATATCGACCATGCAATTACTATATACCTGAGGTACACTTAAAGGAGGAAGATGATCAAATATTGAAGGTCTTTTCTTGATTCCACTATCTGCAGCTATAGAGCCCTAAAATATAATACAATAATAATATTAATAATCAAATTGTTGATGATAACTATACACAATAACAATTATTAAGCTTATAACACTTTCAAGCAGCTGTTACTTGATTTTTTGAAAGTTAAGCTCAAGTTATAGATCATTAGCTACAATAGCTGGCTAAGTTTTCTGAAATTTCAAACACTGACACTACAGGATATCAGTTGAACAATTTTTTTCAGACATCAAAAAATTACCTAATGTTGAGAATCGTATTAACTATGCGAAGAAGGAGAAAAATACATCCAGCATCAATCCAGATCAGCCATTTTGAAAAAAAAAATAAAATGCTCCGACACAGGAAACCCAAACTCGAAAAACGCGTGCTCAAATAATATGCGCACGAATGTTCTATCGTATAATACAATCAATTGGTTTTTAATGTTTTAATCCTACCATAAGCTAACTTGAACTCTTAAAATGAATATCATTCAAAAGTTCATTTGAGTCTATTGTCTAGATAAAGTAACTTTGGGAAAGTAATTCATATTTATTTCAATACTCAACACGTTCCCTCCGAATCAATTATTCTTTCGCATTGTTGGTTAAAATATTTAACAGATTATCTCTCAGTTTAGAATCTCTCCGAACGGATAAGTTTTTTGAAATAATAGTCAACGCCTAATAACATGATTTGCTACTTGGAATTCAACAGCTACACGGGAAATTGCGGAGACTATTTATTTCAAAAATTCCGCTTGCAGTAATAAACCTTGATAGTAAAGTACAGTAAAGAAAAGGCAATCATGCTTCACAATATTCATTCTTGAGTATTGCCCACTTCCTGACTTCATCAAATAACAAAATCCGTCAGTACATAGAAACTGGAAAGAAATCTAAAAACGTAACATCGATCAATCTTTAYAAAACAACAATACATTACTTCTGTACAAGGCCTCACAATCAACCCAGTAATGAGCTGAATAAAAATAAACACCAATTATTTCTAACACCGCGATTTAGACGTTTTTCCCTCAGAATTTATAGGAATTACTCTTGGCGAAGAAGCACAGTTGATGCTCTCCTTTCAGCAAATGACATCCGTCCATTATGAACAAGAATTGTCATTAAGAAACAACGAGAACTAACTGCATGCTTTGTCGACTCTCGGTCGACTATAACCGCATGTTTATCAAGTGATAATTATTTGTAACTTTTGACGGCAGCTGAATATTTCAAATTCTAAACCACTAGAAGGCCTATATTAAAAGAAACAGTGATAAATATAGACAGACATGGGCTTGAAGTTACTTTTCTCGAAGTAGTTTTAGTTGTGATAACTCTACGCTTAGTATTTACCTCTTGATGTTCTCGTGCGGTCGACATTATTACTGCAATATGGCTATAAACCACGCAGTTTGTAGACTGGAATTAAAGCATTATTTCTTCTTGTTTGTCGTCCACAATCATTCACAAAACAYTGGAGATAACGGATCATAGCAAATCCGACTTGGTTTCTCGTCGCATATTTACTTTTCATCTATGAAAACACAATGTCAGCCGTCTCCAAGACATCACATGCATAATTAATAAATGACTTATCAACGAGCTTTTGCCTAGCAACAAAAAGTTACAAAGTTCCAACATAAATATATAATACTCATTGTGTTTCTCGTATAAAATCGTATTTAGTAATTGATGGTTTGTGTTAATAAACTAATGCCATGTCTTAAGATCTACATCGATTTTATAAGTTTTAAATCTTGTCTTTTGTGAAGTGGGATTTTGCGCTCTTTGCCGTCGCCCACACAGAAACAAAGAGATTTTTACCGACCGGATCAGCTTCATTAGGTGTTCACTTGTGCATATTCACGCGAAGGACAAACCAAACGAGACTAAAAAAGTTCTTTATATATCTAAGCCCGTGTAGACTAGTGCACATGATGCAGAATTTAAAGTTTTGACCATGTGGCAATAATAAATGCAATGACCAATGCGCGCAATGCCGATTTCACAATGTTTGGAAATTTTATTTGTATTTTAAGTATTTATTGCCGCTTCCATCGAACATGGCCGAGATTGTTTTGAATCTGAAAAAAGAATCAATGATTCATTTAAAAATTTAAGGCTTCCGATTTTTTCTCAGAATCCCCCATGAAAATCACAATTATTGTAAAATCCCATTGCATATCCTTTTGTGTTCAATATCTTCCCGCTATTATTGTATAGCCTGCGACGAACTCGGCAGTGTTTTTTAAAATTTTACGTACAGTATGCATACCGCAAAAATCAGTGTACTATAATGGAAAAATCCATTGTCAGTGGTTACAATGAAACGTCATCACAAAACCGAGGAGACAATTTATCACAGTTATCACAACTACTGATCAAAACAGGATGCGAAACTGAGGAAGACCATTTTATTCTTTCGACGGGGTGCGTAGATCAATCGGACTGGCGCCAGGGGCAAAATAACGTTTTTATATTTATACTCTCAGTTGGCAAAACATGCAGCGCAAAAAGAACAGATCACTTGTCGTGCAACATTTCGGAGTCTGCTGTGTTCTTGCTCAACTTGCAGTGTTGCCCCACGGYTGGGCGTTGTTTTTAATGTTTGCCGCTCAGTTGATGTATAGTTCGCCAATAAAGTCTGTATGGCATCAGCCAGAGGAAGCACCTCCAATTTGTATTTTTGGGCTATTTATCCTTAATAGTGGTATTTCAAATTGCACAATTTTATTTTATCATTTTATAAACAAATAAGTAGCATGTTTTGCGTTTTTGGGATAAATACCACTTGTGATATTTCAAAATTTGTCACAATTTTGTTTGACAATTTTGAAATTTTACGCTTATTTTTCCAAAATACCACAAAACATGCTATTACCTATACAAACAGTTGTGCAAAAGATAAATTTCAAGTTACTGACGTTTCGGACCGGACGTTAATCCTTCGTAGAAGAATCAGAAACTGTCCCTGTTTTTTTATTTTTTCGATACTGAAACCGGGAAATAAATTTTAGAAAAAAAATACACGTAAGTTTGTTTGTTGCTTCTGCCACAGCATCACAAAATGTCTCGGGAGAATCGTCCAAAAAGTTTTCTAACTTTTTGCGTGATTCTTTAGCCTTTTTTAGTCTGTGCCATATAAGCGCTCTCTGAGCGCACATGTATCAAAATTTACAATTACAATTGTAGCATTTCAACCTCTCAGGATGGCATCACATACAGGTATACCACAACCACAATCTTTGCCTGCGTTTTATCTCCAAAAGGAAAAAAACAAWATTGACTAGTCTTGAATAAGGAAAATGTTGTGGTCTTCATGATAAAATGATAGAAAGTCATACAATGTTACAATGTGTAACACAAAATACATCATTCAGACATGACATTTGTTTTATTTGTAACTTGGATAGATACATGAAACATTTTTAGACTTACATCACCTCAAACTAAATATTTATAGCATTATAGTGCAAATACTAAAGCAGACAAACTCAATCTGTGAAATTGTAAAACTGTTACAGTCGAAGTATAAATTTTGCTCTATTTATGCAACCGACCATTGTTCTTTATGGRCACCAKTTATTAAAATTGTTGTACAAAATACTGTACAATTTCACAGATGAAGTTCATCCACTGCAAATGTTATTTTACTGTAAATGCCATTTTTTACAACAAAATACTGCTCAGCAAATTATGCCCCAGCCTTCTCTGCAGGCGCCTATTTCCTTGCTAAAAAATAATAGCGGCCTTCCTGTGTTAGAACAGTAATAAAGCTGGACTACTAACGAAGCAGGGGAAAAAATGAAAGACGAGATGGCATCTTGCCTTTTCCTTTCCCTCACTCAGTCCCATCTCTACCCTATTTTTTTTTCCACAGAAAACCTGACGTATACAAAACTGGCAAAGCAGAGGCTATGCCCATACTTCTATGATAGTAGGMACTAAGGCAAATTTACTTGCTTTCTATTGTCTGATCTACAATATTTAGGACTATAGACACCTTGCAGTTCGTGGGAATGCAATTCCAACTGGAGGACTAATGAATAGATTCTGGTTCCCAAGAGGGCAAAAATCTTTTGTTTTGTCCTCCAGGTAAAGCTGATTTGACGTCACATGCAGGAGGTCTATTTGGTCAGTACTTTTTCACACTACATGTATTATGATTTGAACTCTAATTTGTGAATTTGGGTGATGCTAAAATACATACAGTGCAATGAATGTAACACGAAACACATCTTAGTCTTATGAGTTTACCCAGAAACCTATGACTTGAAACATGTAACGCCCGTACATTTCTTTAGTACCAAGCGTCGGAATATTCAAAGCTCATTAAAAATTCGAAAACGAACGTTATGACCATATTTGGAAAATTTGGCCGTTGGATAAGAGATTCAAGGCCCGTTCTGGTTRGCTATAGKGTAAATTTAATTGTTCCAAATAAGGTCAAATAAGGAAATGAGATGCAAACTAGATTTTAATATTCCAACGGTTGGCACGGCGTTACACGTTTCAGGTTCCTTATAGGTTTCTGGTTTACTGCAATTTCCATCATTATGCATGCTTTAAATATTATTTTTGTCCCTAAAATCTTTAAGAGTGGACTCCAGATATTGAATTCTGACTCTTGAGTTGGATGAATGAAGAGAAGATAATGAGGAATGGTTTGTCAGTATTTGCTTGTTATACAATTATTGACTAGAGCGAAAACTACTCATGACCATGAAACTTACAGTAATCTGTTCAATCTATTATATTCTGAATTACAATTCACTGAAGAACAACAAAATGTTAATAATGTTCGAATTAATCGTATGAGGAAGTAGCCGATCCCATTAAAGAGTGCTCAATACACATRAAGTGTAGAGCTAGTTATATATATGATATCAAAGAGTTAAGATTTTGCTGTAACTCCGAGTTTCGTGCTACGCACTCAAATACTGTCTGATGAGTGCGTAGCACGAAACTCGGAGTTACAGCAAAATCTTRMCTCTTTGATATCATATATATAATGTTCGAATTATTAATTTTTCTGAATTATTAATTATTCAATTAAAATCATTATCAATATTATCTGAAACTGCCAAGACAATGCATTTTATATGTGCAACGCTAATTTGCTGAAAATAAACTTAATGAAAACTATGTACATGGACAATGAATTCTCTACAGGAAGCATTTACCAGCTACATGTATATTAATATCTGAAAAAAATCTTATTCTAATTGTCCGCAATATTTTCATTCCAATAAAAATAATTCCAATTAGTTTTAAATAGATTCTTAATATTATATTTTAAACCTTGAGCTTTGAAGAATGCCAGGAAATAAGACAAGGGTTGTAGATTGGCTGTGGGTAGTRTGTGCTCTGGCAGCTTTGTAAAGAATTATTTCAATAGGCACTGACATTGCGCTTGTCTCTGTTTTTTCCTCTTGTCAAAGTCCTTGCTTTGGACATGGCACTGTTGTGCATTTGCTGTGAGATAAAAACAAGCATATCCTTATCATTAAGCTGAATTAATTTATTATTATATCACTGATATAATTATTTTCAGGGCTCGAAATAATGGCCGGACATATGCAGGACAAGATGTCCTTTCAAATTCATTTTTGGAAGGTCATGTTGAATTTTGAAAGGACAAACACTGTCATACTATTATTTTCCCAATATGCAGGGGATATCACCATATTAAGTCAAACCAAAACGAGTGTAAAATCAACCAGAAACTCTTTGATGGATGTTAATTTACTCATTTCAAAGGAAAGTAAAAAATGTAATGAAGTTTGTAAAAGATTTATTTTGCGAATTGGGAATTGATTGCTTTTTTTTGTCTTAAAATGTGGTAGGTCATTTGTCCTTTGAAAATCCGATTTGGCCATTCATCTAGCAATTTTGGAAGGACATTGTCCTTTGACTGGCCCTTATTTCGAGCCCTTATTTTAAACAAGGTCTAGCTCCTTTCCATACCTGACTATGGACTTACATGTAAGTATATATTCTTAATGGTTGCTACCACTATCTTAAAAGGTAGCTGGGCCTTTGCATTAAGGAGGGACAAGCAATGAGTGATCCCTTTTTCACACCTATGACAACTATTCACAGGTATMTGTCATTAGGAGCTCAGTTGTTGTCTCTCTGAGATGCAAAGGCATAGTTTCCTTACATTTTGACACACCAGGAAAGTATGAAAGGTTCTCCTATAGTGGATCTTGCTAAACACCCCTTTGCATTCAAAAACCTTTACAATATAGCTTTACAAAATTATAACATCTGGTTGAAAGCTGCTTTCTGATTAGTTCAAAAATCAAATTTTTGTAATTGAGAAAATTCTGCAAAGTTTCATGGGTGCACATGAATGGACCCTTTTTACTGTCTGCTGATTTCGGATTGCAATTATTAGAATAGCATTGCTTACCCTTTCAAATTTGCTGGCTTTCTGCATCTTTACGTCTTCAACATTCACAGGAGGACCAAGTTCAAATATATCTCGAAGCAAATCATTCCCCTAGATAAAAAAAATGCTTCTTTAACTTATAAAATGAGGTTAGCATACATGCTTATGGCATAAACACGAAGTAGCTTAGGAATYKAAAATATTCTCATTGAATTCATTTAACAAGAAGCAAGAGAATGCCCTTTTTACAGGCAAGCAATTTKTCTTGAAGATGAATGGAATCCATAGRTATTTCCAATCTTAACACCTGCAGGACCTTAGGGCTTTGTTTCCATTCCTTTGCTCAATCTATTGTTTTTAATTCACTTTTGGCTTACTTCATAAGCATTTATCCTTCTTTGTTTTGTTTCTCCTTATTTCATTCTTTCATTCATTTGTTATTTCCATTATTTCACTTTTTTTTAATAAGCTAAAGTTTTTTTTATTCAGGAGTGTCAAGAACCATAAATCTAAGCAATATTATCCTTTTCTGTAGGATCTGAAAAAAAATTAAACCCACAAACAGATTATTCTACCATGCTTACCTGCAAGTGAATGTTAATTCCAGTTCCTAAACAGTCCTTAAATGCATTGTACTGCCTTCTCTTGGCCCAGGAATACACCTCAAGGTATTCACTGCCAAACTTAATAACCTCCTCTGGAGCACTACCATCCTAAGGAGAACAACATTTGTATCAATACAGGACCAGCACATCACCCTATAGAATAAATTGAATTGAACATTGAAAGAATAAAAGGGGTGGTGAATGGCATCTTCAAAAAAGCTTCTTAAAACACTAAATATTCTCATTCAGTCTCAATTATTGGTGTTTTGGCTACCACCTGTAGAGCAAACCTGTGAACTTCCGTAAAAATGTTTGGTGACATTCTCAAGGCCAACATTAAGTTAGTCTTAATGTGTGTCCATGGTCGGAGTATTTCCGGTTTTGTCAGGCAATAGAGCTAATGAAAAAAGTCATACTTTTGATTACCTCAATGGCTCTCATAACATCTCTAAAGCTTGATCTCTGTTGGCGGAGATCTTTCTTGGCTTTGTGTTTATCACTGTCTGTAGCCAGATCCTTTAACAGGTTACATAGTCCATTCTCATCTCCTTGGAAATCTTCATTTGTCTCGCGTGCCATTTCATACATTACTGCCAGCACCTCTCCAGCGGCAATTCTAACAGTAATGTCACTGCTTTCTAATATGCCAATGATTCTCTTGAGAAATCTACAAACAAACAATCATAATGGAGGTAAGTTGTGATGAAAATGTCAGTCACATGACCTAAATTAACCTTGTCAATCAAAACAATGTTTTACCACCTCAAGATGAAGTGAAGTATCATAAAATGCACTGACTGTGGATATTTGAGCTTATTTAATATCTTAAAACTGCTATTGCTGCCAAAATAGCTTGACAAACCAACATAATTTTATGTAATGTAAATTTTCTTTGTTTGTGTGTCCTTTAGGCCTTTTCTTAAACACAAAGTCATGGTGCATTGTGGTCTAGCTTCAGTACATGTACATGTTCATGGCAGCATGAACAAAGGATGTTTGTACCACATCTAGACCACAATGCAATTCAAAGTGCTATCTCAGAAAAGGCCAATGTTGACTAACTCAATGCAATTCAGATGTCCTTTGAAACCCACACCGACACYGAATAGGAGGAAAGTTTTTATAAGATTTAAAGCACATCTATTTGAAAACTGCAAGCTATAAAAGTAAGACCAACAAMAAATATGAACAAGTTGTCAAGGTTATAGGTGGGGATTGTGACTATGGAAATATTTTAGGGTTGCCAAAATTTACTTACTTGCAGATACGGGAATATGAATTAGGAATAATAGTCAAGAGTAATGCCCATGACAGCAAAGCATTATAGTACAAGGGAACCAGWGCTTGTGTAATGGTCTTGTTATTATCAAAGACACCTTCATAGATTCTTGCACAGTCCTGTAAATCCTGCATAATGCATATGAAATAATGTTTAACAGGACTGGCCCAATATTTTCTGGTACGATAGGAGTTTTCATTTTCTGGAGCACACATGTTTATTAACATCATTACAGTATATAATCAATACTACGTTTTTTTGGGCCTAACAAGAGCAATTTAATGCATATATTGTATATTTGGATATATAACTGCTATCGTTAGGGAGAGAGGGTAGGGACAACAAAGCAACTACAGTCCCATCGACTCGAACGAAGACCAAATGAGTGAAATACAATTGATATTAGTGTACTGCTCCACTCCCTATTGACCTTAGTTAATTATCAACATCATTTAAAGACAAATGTATTCTTCGCACTTCAACTCACTTTCAACAATATTTGCTAATTTTATGCAAAGGGTTTCACCCATATAAACACACTCTCAAAGAGTTTTTCACAAGTTGCTTTTGTTTAAACAGCCAATCAAAATCAACATCATAGACGTTTCAATATACATTGACTTACATCTTCATTTTCTGATGCAATAAGACAGCAAAGGCCAAGTGCACTACAACACTAAAACAACAAACCATCATTAATACAATACAAAGGTTTGAAAGGCCAGAGTTCATATGGAGCCAGTGGCACCAGATAATGTAAAAAATCAAATGCCATTTTTCAGAGTTTGTTGCCAATGGTCAAAATATTAGGGCCATTTTGAGAAAATATTTGCATAAGCAGGCTTTCTGTGGTGAAAACAAAATGGGGGATTGGAAAGTTTTTTCTTTGCAAGCATCAAAGACATGGTTTGTTTAACAAAATGATGAATGACAGAGTTCTTATTTATTTTCAAACTTTACAAGCAGGTTTTTAATTCTTTGCAAAAACAATTTTCTGTTGGGTACCGAKGCTACAAAACTCGGCGCTAAGGATGATTTTTTTAAATGCACCATTTTTTTAAATTTTAGCAGGATTGATGCAAGGTTTGTGACCTATACAAGCATAAACYCATTCTTAAATCAACTTACACTTCCTCTAGCATTGGCATGGACAGTAGGATCCTGGATGACTGACATGAAGAGTGGTTTTAGTGCTCTGAAGAAATTCTCGCTGTCTGTTCCTGCACCAAGCTGAATGCACACTAATGAAGCCAGATGTGAACCAAGAACTTTGTCTTCATTTTGACCTGTYGATGAATGACATACTTTAATCATTATCCTAAGATGTCTGTTCTTATTATTATCTTAGTAGCCATATACATTACTTTTACAGTACATTAAAAAAATTCTAATGAAAGATAGCCACAGGTTTTGCTCACTTGCACTTCATGGTACTCACATACCAGTATCATTTTTTTTTTTTTTTTTTTTGTGCTAGTCAATATCTGGAAAGTTTTTCTGTATCTTCTTAGTGATTATTGATAAATAATCAATCATTTTGCAAGATTTTTTCCTCTGCCTCACTGAAACTGTATACCGAAAACTTTGTGTTGCCTTGAATAGAGCAGATTTTGTCTSAAWGCACTTTCMMGCAGTAAATKTGCYGTACTTGAAGKTGATGTGTTCTTGAATAATTTTTTTCWGGGGTTCCTTGAACATATTGTGTTGTGTCTGTGTCTTTGCACAGTCATTAGAAATCTGCTCTGTATAATGAAACTTCACAACATTGCTCAGGTACACAACAAACCTCTTTTCAGGCATCTCTCAACACAATCTCTAAGTGTATCTTTCCTGAAAGAAAATTAAATTCCTCAATAAAACCACTTTCAAAGATTCACTTTAACTGGAGTTCTGCTGCAAAATGTTGGATAGTTGGTCAAAGCACAGTGTCATGTTCCTCTTACACTGCATTGCTTGTATGGGAAGACCTGTCTGTCAAAACAACATTAATTTATTGTTGTGTCACAAGGTTAACATTGAAGAGCCATGGTCCACAATAGCAACTTTAAAATGAATCCTRCATTTTGAACAAACTTTCGTTGTTTAAAAAATATTGCTGCAAAGGTGCAGTGCTTCTATATTTAAGCAGATAATACAATATTGACAAACCTGTTAAAGACAAATTCATAGAGTAGCTTGGACTTTAAAGCTTTTTGGAGGGATATCAATGATGACTGTCTTCCTCTGACACTACCAAAGAGCAAAAAGAATTTTGAATTTTTATCATTTACATGTAAGTGAAATTGCATCACTGCACGAAATTTGTTTACTACCACTTTCAAATATTCAAAACAAATCTAAATTTGTTGAGCTGGGCATTTTCATTTGTGCATAAAATTATGAAAATTACAAACATTTTTTTTTTACTTTTTATCATATTTTTATGAATATTTTTATAAAATATAATAAAAAACAACGAAAGTTTTAAATACTTTATATTAGGGTGATATAAACCTTAAAAGGAAACGAAAGAACATTTTCAATTGTTATTCAATTCATTGAAACTGGTACGCTTTTATTTTCGTACAATTAAGTATAATATGTTCAAAATAACTATAAAATGTACTATTTCTATAAATTAAATTAGATTTACAAAGATAACTAACAASGAGTAAAAATAATGTACTGAAGATAAGAATTTTATAAAGACTCAGACAAAACAGACATTTAACAAGAAAACATGGCGGTCAAACCTCTTCTGAGTTGCTCCATCAAGATGATCGTCCAGCATTTGCTCTGAATTTACTTCGATCTCTTCAAAGCTATCATCAGCTCCCTCGTTAGCGAAATCTGTACACAAACAATGATTACACGTGAATTCCCGGTGAGTGTAATGGTTCTCTGTTGTAGCACGTGCAAACAACAACTTACCATCTCCGCTTCGCGTATCTACACTAGTTTGACTTGTTGTGCTCATAACTTCATCGTCTTCAACTGCCAGCCCGTCTTCCATTCTTTTAGGCGAGGCTGTTGAGTTTTTGAAGATAATCAGGTAAGTTTWAAKCAGAATTCTGTATTGTAACAATATTTTTTCGCCGTGTTTTTGAGTGCGTGTTAGGCAGCACGCGTAAGTAATCTCGAAGCACAAAACATGACCGGCAAAACTGCTATGAATGAAGCTGTATCGTTCAAAGCGACAAAACCATCTAAGTTTTGAAATGATTCGCTAAAATTKAGCACGAGAATTTCAAAAGGTTACGTGATAAGAATCTAGACATAATAGTTACAATATTACGTTAAGTTTTTACCTTTTCTTTTGCCGTGTTTGGCTTGTCGATCCGAGCGTTTGCCCTTTCCTTCTCGGTTTCCTTTAGGCATGGTGGGATTCAAACTTGAACCTTTTTCTAWCAAATACTATATAATATGTCGTTTAAATTTATGAAATTTTCTCCTTCGTATAGTTCTTTTCTTGACGGAATTCAAATAACAATCGAGGGTTGAACGGTTGTTTAAATACATTTGGGAATTTCTTCACAGCTAACCTTACCCAGCGAAGGGAAAGAAGAACTAAAGCCATCGGAAACTGGTCGGCGTGTTATCGGAAATTTTAGCAATGACGTCATTCAGAATCCTTCTWGCACCTTATTGTAGTCTTTTCACCCACCCCCTAAAAGTCCCCAAAGTTCCCCATAAAGACTCAGAAATAAGCATGTGTGAGAGTCTTGTAATTTAGATAAAATGTTAATATGTAATAGTAAATATTTCTTATCCTTAACGTTGAAATAAAGCATCTAAAGTAAAATATTGGTTCCCTAAAATTTCTGTTTAGTATTTTTGGGGGAGGCCATAGAGATCTTATTTGACTATCGAGAGCGAGGCTCTTTTCTCGTTCCATTCTCCTCTCTAATCTCTCACGTAACAAGGATTTTCAAGTTGGATGGGTTTTGGAGCACATTATATTCTTTGTTTTTTGATAATGCTGACATAAAATGAACGGTAAGTTTATAATTTCTATTMCCTGAACATTGCTTTGCAATATTATTGTTTATTAAGCGTATAATTTGCGTCGAAGATCGTTAAATTTCAATCCATAATAAACTGTGTCAGTTATATCAAGACGTGGCAAAGATATTCCAGTAGCAGAAATTCGATATATTTTACATTTTTAGTTCTTTCCTTCACGACTTTTGATYTAATAAACAGTGTTTGCTTAATATAGATAATAATTTCAACTGGTTTCGCCTAAAGAGGATCAATAAAAGATTGATTATAATCTTGTTGATATGAAAATCAACAAAGTTTCATTTCATATCAAAGCCCTGGATTGGAAAATGTTGATATATTCAGATTCGACGAAACACCAAGGCCTTTTTTAAGACTGGAGGTTTAGAACCTTTTGAATGTGTGAGACGGGTTAGACAGGTTAGGCTCTTCTGTAGTCTTCAGCTCGGCTTGGACTGCTCAACTTCTTGCAATGAAACTGTTRTATGATAAAAATATGTTAGGTCAATTCCACATGAGACAGAGAAAAATCTTGAATTTCAAAAACCTTTAAGTCTTTATCAAAACCATATTTTATTATTGTCAATATACTGAATTAACATAAATCATAGTTTATTTTGAAAAAATGACCTCACCCGCTCTGCAGCAGGGCATTAAACGCGGCATAGTGTTAGTGAGAATCTTGAGCCATTTACATGTAGATTTTATCTGTCATGATTATGGACTGGAAATATGCCTAGAGGTGCAAATACAAATCCTCAAGCAMTAAGAGACTCCAATAATCATTTTGCAATTGCCAAATTTTCTTTACAACATTYMRGCTTGATTATTCAGGCCTCAAAACTTYGATATGCAAGAGGGTAATGTCCGCAACAAAAACTGCTTTTAATCTCATTTGCARCTCAACWAYTAMTYTYAGCATGAYCTCATTACTGCTGCTCTTTTAGATTAACATGTGAACAAATATTTCAAAAGAAAAGTGACCAAAAATTAATTAATTAATTAGATATGCTGTTGCGGACATTACCGTTGCGGACATTACCATTTCAACTTTTGCCATTTTCATTTGTGAAATATTGGTATTTTTTAGAAAAAGTACTTATTTTCAAAAAGTTAAAGCATAGTACTCCGGACTCTAAAGCATGCTTGCATGTAATAACACTGACCAAAATCTAAAATTTAATTGGTGACTTTCCACTTTCAATGAATACTCATTTTTTTCTTGCTAAGTTCATTTTTTTTTGTTTTAATTATTACCTAAAATGACTGTTCTTTAAGCATAAAGTAGCTACTTTAAAAACACTTTTTTAACATTTTTATATTTATTCCTGCCAAATTTTTTTGCTTTAATTCTGTACTATCCCAAAAATTTAATGTCGGCAACACTTATGGGGTAATGTCCGCAACAAAGAATTTAGTCTATAGCTTCCACAAATATAGAAATGATAAAGTTTTAATGGCCATTATTACTTAAACTAATCAGAGTTTTAGTCTCTTGGAAGCTTTTCACAATTTACAGCAATTCTAGCTTAAAAGCAGCCACTTAGATACATTTTGTTGATTTTAGGGTAATGTCCGCAACAGTCACTATTAATGAAATGCTATGTTCCTTTTTTTTTTGTTTAATTATTACCTAAAATGACTATTTTTTAAGCATAAAGTAGTTATTGAATACTTATTTAACATTTTATATTGATTCCTGCCAATTTTTTTGCTATAATTCTATACCATCCCCAAAAAGTTATGTCCGCAACACTTATTAGGTAATGTCCACAACAAAGACATTAGTCTATAGTTTCCACAATAATATAAAATAACAAAGTTTTAATGGCCAGTATTGAACCCCCATCATTACTTAAACTAGTCAGWGTTTTAGTTTCTTGAAAGCTTTTCACAATTCACAGCAATTCTGGCTTAAATAAAAGCAGTCACTTGAATACATGGTTGTTTTTAGGGTAATGTCCGCAACAGTCACTATAAATAAAATATCTAAGATGGGAAAGGAGGTATCTGGTGTTTTTCACATACATAGTGTGAGGGCCCCCTTGAGCTTAATTATAGCAAAGTTTGATCCACCTAGCTTGCTGCAGTTAGAAGTTGTGATCAGTTTTGTAGCYATATTTTGCCTCTGAAGGTAATGTCCACAACATGGAATTGACCGTTAAATCATTTTCTGGTCTATGATTAAAAAAAGGAAAGGAAAATTTGTTGGGTACTAATCGTCCTTCATGGCAGCACGGGTGCTGTATTGCAAAAGATGCAGCATGACAAGTTCTCAAGTCTAACTTTATATTACAGACACATATTACATACACTTTAACACATAGGCCAATACTGTCATATAAGGATAGAGCAATGTTGCATCTTAAMAAATAAAATGGCCACTGAGCTYGRCARCYCTGTAGTCAGAGGYATGGCCTTCATGTTCATCCTCAGACCAAATGTCATTACAGTCTCAAGCATGTTCAAAAGTCATGATGGTATCATTGCTGATGATTCATTTTATTTTCAGTGTATTCATTTGATGGCTTAGTAGCCTGTGCACTGCTTGTGATATGCACCTGTGCCTATATCAGAAAAGTTCCAAAATTAAAAACGTTCTTCCTATCTGAAAAGAAAGGCTTCTTTGGAGTATTTTATAAAGGTTTGTATCATTAATGCCTTGCCTTTTACTTTAAATGTACTAACACATTCAACTTGTGTGGTGACCATTGCCGACATTGTCATCCTCTGTATTGGATTCGTATTTGAGGAGTTGGATGGGGGGTGCTCAACAAATCCAACATCGTCAAACATTTCATGGTGGTATTTTCACATTAAATTAGGCTTAGGTATTATTAACTGAGCTCACCGTCTAGATAGAAAAATCTAGTGGTGTTAAGCTAACATTCATGCTTGTCATAATTATAATGTTACAATTATTGCATTTCAAACTGAACTTTTGCAAGGTGCTTGTACAGGGATATCAACCCCCAAACTTTATATATCTGGAGAAATTACCGTATTTACCCATGTATAAGCCGCACTTTTTTTCCAAAAAAATCGTTCCCAAATCGGGGGTGCGGCTTATCTACAAGAAGACTTGTAAAATTGCCCAATAAAAACTAACTTACTGCAGACAGGACATCAGTAATGTGATAAGTTGGTTTTACACGGCGGGAACAGAAATTTTAATCCAAACTTCTTAGTATTACTATAAATTCTCCGAAAATCTAGCTCTGAGAAACGCAAGTTAATAAATCAAACTGAAAAGTGCGTGGTTATTGAGCTAAAATGCACAGAGAGCATTTTCAATTGTTTTGTCTTGGAGTTGTTTTGGTAACGCGATGCTAATTTGCATTGTTCATTTAAAGTGACTTTGTCGCACTTAAAGTGAAGAATCCAGGTTAAATATTTTGAATACCCAAGAAATAAGCCTAAGAAATAGCCGACTTGTGAATTACGCATCAATAGTCACATACAAAGGAATCAAGACGAGGCACCATGCTTTTTTGTGAAAAATCTATTGTCTTTAGCACGGCGCCTCGTCTTGATTCCTTTGTATGTGACTATTGATGCGTAATTCGCAAGTCGGCTATTGTTCCTTATATTAAACAAATACAATCTGCTTTAATTTTTTTTTGAAATACGAAACGGTTTCGGCATGATCCTTATACATGTTTAGAAGTTTGGCAACACGATGAGATTTCAAATTGAGATTTATATCGCTCAAGTTAATTACTAGTTTGCTTTTACCTTTTGAATGAAAAACAACTCTTTAAAGTATCAATTATCAATCTTAACAATTATTATGTCTCCAAGATCAAATTCATCATACACCGCACGTTAAATTGTAATTGCATACGAAGTGCATGGATTGCAGAAATCAAGCAGCGGAAAAGCACTTTAAAAGCAAAGAAAGCTGTATTCGCAAGTGGCGATCAAAAAGAGAAAAGTTTATTTTCCGTCTTTTTTTTTCCTCAAAAACATTCCTAAAACTCGGGGTGCGGCTTATCTACGAGAGCGGCTTATACATGGGTAAATACGGTACCTTGATTATGTGTATGATGTCACATCATGCAAATGACATCATATTCTGTTTCAATCAATGGGATTAGACATCGCATAATCAGTTTAAATATATTTTTCATGCACGAGCATACGTAAGCAATGCCTGTAGGTATTTCGTTCTGTATCGAAAGGTCCAGGAAACGCGACATAATTCACTGACGGTTTTTTTGAAAATAAAAATCTACAATGGTTAGTAATTAATATCATTCTATGAAAATATCGTGTGTATCCGGGAGATTTCGGGCTAAAATCTTGAGACCGGGAGATTCGATCTGAAACCAGGAGTCTCCCGGCAAATCCGGGAGAGTAGACGTCCCTGCTTGTAATTCACATAATGTAGCTTGACTGGCTATGAAATAAGATTGTGACCTTTAGTACAGTGAAGTGTTGTTTCAGTGGCCCATTGGGCTACAATCTTGGACATAAATATTGACAATTTTTACGCATGCATAACATTTTTCCCACTATTTGTCAATAAAACCTTCCTCGTGCCCCCTTTCCCCCAATACAATKTCGTGTGCCTTTCTTTTCATTGGCTGTCCATTCATTTACCCATTCTTGCARCATTTATGCTGAAGGGAGGGGAGGGAAGGGGAATATTTTCAATAAATGCATGCGATACAGTACTGACCAGTATTTGAAATACCAAGCGAAAAATATAGTATATAAAGTATTTATGTCCAAGATTGTAGCATCATTTCACTAGTAAGAATGTGAGAGGTCTGTTGGTTCAAGTCAAATCTGATATGGATTTTTTCCTAGCAAACTATTTTTGCTTTTTCACTCATCATCACTTCTTGGTAATACTTTGGTAATACTGATATAAAGACTTTGGAACGAATTGACTGGCATTCAACACTTTTATTTGTTTTTACAGCTGCAGTAATTGGAGTGAGGCTTCATTGGGTGGTATCAATATCTTGTATCCTGATGGCAATTTACACTCTAATCTTAAAGTAAAATGTCAATTTACATGAACATTGAACAGCATAGTGGACAAAATCCAGAAAGAGACGTCATCAAATTATGTACCTTCACAAACTAGGGTTCAAGACTTGGAGCTATTTTATTAAATTCTAGTATTTATCACGTTATATGAGCAGTTTTTCCTTGTAAATATTGAATTTGCTTAGGTTATATGGCTAAATGGTGATAAAACTGTCAATTTTWAAAATAATCAACAAATTGATATTACTTCATATGATGTGAAATAGAGAGAAATAGCCGTAGGGGGGTGTGGAAGAMGATTTCTCTTAGATGACTCGATAGGACTAGTGTAAGTAAAGTTTCTATTTTGCATTTGGTATACAATCTGACATTTGTCATAGGCAAATAGATGACACAATTTTAGATATGATAAAAGAATCTTTTTKAATGACTAACTGCAGTAGATACGACATAGATGAGGAAAATATAATGTAAAATCAAATAAATTTTGAGATTAAACTTCAATTGAGCTACTATTCTTATTTTACTACACTTTAGTARAATAATAACTTGATTTAATTTTAATAAATAATGTACATGTACATTTTACGTGTAAATATGTTAGCAATAATTGATGCATAAAATAGTCTTATCATTAAACAATAACTTAAGAAATTAGCATAAAGTGTATACCCAGAACTGTATGTTAATAGATATTAATTATTTATCATAATTATAATATACTTATTGCAAATTCGTTATAAATGTTTTCTTAAATGGTAAGTCCAGGGAACCTTCTTATGCAGCCTCTGTGACTTTTGCGTGTGGTTGTGTAAACTGTGAGAGGTCAAATCCAAGGCAACAGTAAATTCAGAGAAAAATTTAAGAGTATTTCAATCTGTACCAAATAAAAATTCAAGAAATCTTGCTATAGAATCTTCTGAGATCTCAATAAGATTCCAAGTAAAATTKAATAATAATAGAAAGAAAATATACAGAAAATATTATTTTGGGGAAATCCTCTGAGAAGTTCTACTACTTTTTCTTAAATTTTCTTCTGACTTTGATTGATTGCATTTCTAAATGCAACAGTGTTTCCAAGGTGTTTTCATCAAGCAGTTGCAAATATGGGTTTATGCATGATGGTCTATCTTTTYCTCAGAAATAATAAATCTCTCCTGTAGGAAGTGTAGCAATTTTGTTTACATTTTAAGCTAGATTTCTTTGCCTGTAGACCTTTCTAAAGATTCAGATTTGACACCACAAAATGTTATTAATAGATTATGAAAAGATCAAAAATGAAATTTTGTTTTGTTTCATTATCTTGAAGAAGTTATAATAGGAATACAGACTCGTATGCCTTTTGGGAAAACAGACACTTGGCCTCTTGACCGCTTTGAATAATTAAAAAAAGGTGACCAAACTCAAAAGCTAACTTGCAATATTCTTGTTGAATGTTAAATGGTCATTCACAATAGAACTGAAGATGTGGCTTTTGGGAAACAAAAGGCTTATGTATATTGTAACTCCTCTGAATCCTCAATCCATTTGTGAGAGGGCGGCTTTTGTGGCCTTTTTGTAGGTCTATTACATAAAAAAAAAACAGAAAACAGCTGTCTACTTTGACTCGATTTAACAGCTCAAACTTGTACAAGGGCTTTTAATATTACAAGTTATTGTCTATGCAAAAAGCCTTGTCATTTCCTCTGTACTCATGTTCTTGTATGTTTCCTGAGGTTTTCACTATAGATGATAGTCTTTCCAAATTGTGTCAAAGCAATGGTTAACTATTTGGATTGACTAGCAGATTCTAAAGTTCTTCRGTATGAATTATGTAAAGCTGTTTGTGATATGAGTTTTGGGACGTTCTTTTGCCAGGCTTTTACTATTTGTTTACATTCTGCTTATTTTAAAATGCTACAAAATAATTGTAATGCAGCAAAACTGGACTGACAATGATTACTGTAAATTCTTTTTAATTTCCAATTTTGTTTTTGTGTGTGTGTGGTGTTCACTTAAAATTKAAATATGTATTTTTAATGAATTTCACTTTTCATTTCTCCAGGAAATAGAATATGTCATTTGAATGTGATGAATGAGGCTTATACTGTTASATGTAATATTCATATTGGCTTCAAATGTGAACTGCGTTCATATGAGTAAACTGTGAAAAAGTACAATTTCTCAAACTTTTATTTGTCAATTCACTGAATTTTTCATCAAGATTTATTACCTAATCCATTCTGATTGAATCCTCAACAATAGTGTGAAAACAAAAACCAAGTTGTTTCTTGCTTGACTTAGTAAAAAGAGAAACATTTCTTGAATTAATGAGAAKTTTTGGACAAGAAAATKGACATTTTTATTTTCCTCTTTTTTCCCTCTTTTTTCCCATTCAATTCATTTCTTTTAAACCAGGCTCTCCATTTAATATTATGTTTTACAATTGTTTTCTTTTTTTTGTTCTAAATTTTTATTTATCACATTACAAAGGCAKAAAATTTTATGAACAAAAATATCAMAGCATAAATTGACTGAAAGATGACCAAATTATACCCATGACAAAATTTAACAAAAATGAAAAACHTCTGCTTGCTCAGCTGTGTGTGGGTACGTTCAAACTAGATTTTTCATYTCTTTCCTGTCATTTTTATTTTCTTGACAACTAAAGAAAACGCCATAGAGGAAATATATCTAAAATTATGTTGTCTCCTGATTGTAACGTAGCACGTAGCTTGTAAAAAATATTATCACTAATTTTGTACACACCTGTCAGAAAGTTTTCTTTTTCAGCTGTTAGGATATAAACACTYGAAAATTTGCATAAAACTTGAATAGAATGAAAATTTGTAGTTTCCAATAAAGAATTACTCATTTGAAAGGGAGCCAATTGGTCTATTGTTTGACATTTTCATATTAAATGCGAAAATATTATAGATGAGAACGTCCCACTTGTTTTGCGCATCGTCCTGAGTGATCATTTCCTGTTGATTGTTTGAGAAACCATGTGACCACGTAGCAATAATACCATTGGAAGGTTTTAAACAACACAGGAAAACCAACATCAATCAATCACCTGTTTCAAACAATAATYCGCCACAAATCGATAACATATTTAAAAAATAGTGAAAATCAATTCAAAAAGTGTAAAGTTCCTTTAAAATATTATTTCTTACTATTTGGCTATTGTTTACGACGTTTTCTGGCACGTTTCTTCTGACACAACAAGTATTTCGGAACTGATCAAAAGCTAAATTCTTATGACCGAATCTCATTCCCACGTGCACGTCACCGTGTGCATCACATCAGATTGAAGCRGCCATCTTGGATTCTATAAGTATAACAAATTGTTGATTCTGTAGATTGGTGGACGTATAATGGTCATGAAGAGATCTTCAGAACCAGAAAATCATGTCAAATCGAAACGCAGTCGCTCCAGGATTGACTTAGACGATAACGGAATACGTGAACATATTTCATCGCCTGAAAGTATGCGGGATAGTGGATCCCCTGTGCGACGAAGTTCATCTCTTACTCGAAAAACAGACGAAAGAACGTACAAAAGGACCTCTAATGTCAACATGCGAAACGACAGTAACTATCCTATCCACCAAAAAAGGGAACGGGAACTCGATCCTCATGTTCGTATAACAAACCTATCGAGTCATATTTCTGATCAGCAGATGAAAGATGCACTTTTTCACGAGTTTAAAAAATTTGGTGAAATCACTGTTCTCTTGTACGGCCGAGGCAACGATCGTTACGCCGTTGTGTACTTTCGAACCCTGGAAGATGCACGGGAAGCAAAGCGTGTATTCGAACGCCGAGGACGTGTTATGATCTTTGATCGTCCAATTCGTATTGAATACAGATTATATCCTGARAGAACTTCTAGTCGAAGAAGTTACAGCCCAGTTGGAGAAAACTTTCGCTATGACACCCGTCGTTCTATGTCTCCACCTCGCCGAACACAACGTGCTTCTAATCCTCAATTTGAGTCGTTCGAACGTAGTAACCGTACTGATTATGATCGCAGAAATAGAGGGGGCGATTTTTACGTTCCCCCGCAGCAAGAATACATCCCRCCAGAGGAAGATCCTAAAGCTACGAGAACGCTGTTTGTGGGCAATTTAGAAACAAGCGTGTCCAGCCAAGAGCTTCGGCGCGCTTTTGAGAAATTTGGAGTGGTTTTGGACGTGGATATCAAACGCCCCGCACGTGGACAAGGAAATACTTATGCATTTGTGAAATTCGCTGATCTGGACGTCGCTGCTAAAGCAAAAGTTGATATGCAAGGAGAGTATATTGGAAGAAATCGTGTAAAAATCGGTTACGGAAGGAGTCAACAGACAACACGTTTGTGGGTCGGTGGTTTAGGGTCGTGGACGTCTTTGACCGAGCTTGAACGAGAGTTTGATAGATTTGGCGCTATTAGACGTATTGATTACCGCAAAGGGGATGACCATGCTTATATTTTGTACGACAGTTTAGATGCTGCATCCGTTGCTGCACGTGAAATGAGAGGTTTCCAGATGGGCGATTGCCGTTTAAGGATCGATTTTGCTGATAAAGATCAAGGTTTGAAAGATTATGATCCATATTATCAAGATCGTAGAGATTCAAGCCCTTCTAGAGGACGTGTTACTGAAGTTAATCGTGGAGACAACTTGTACAACTTGTCTGACCGTGATTATAGAGACGACAATTCATATCTTGATCCWAAGCAAGAGCATTACAGGCGTGGTGATCGACGTGGAGATGAAGAAAATTCTTACAGAAACTGGAAGGAAAATGACAACTATTCTTCACATCGTGATGTCAATCGTTCTGAAGACAATGCACCTCGTCAAAAACCCTTTGAGGATTGGTCACATGACAGGGGCTCACAATATAATAATGATGATGACTGGGATCGTCGCAATCAAGAAAGAACTTCAAAAGCTTCACATTACCGCCGAAGAGGACCTCAAACACCACCAAATGATTTTTCTTCATTTGAAAATTCTCCCGCACATGTTACTGATGAGGAAAGAACTCACAAGCATAGAGGATCTTCATACAGAACTAAGCGTTACAAAGAAAATGATGCTCCTGCAAAGTCCAACAAATACCCAAGAACTAGATCTCCATCACCAACTCATGGAGCTCATCCACAATCCATTTCACCAGATGCAAGACGTCATTCGGAATCATCTTCTGATAGTCATTTCAGTCATTCACGTGGTGGAAGTATAAATGTAGCTGAGGACGATGATAAGCATAAAAGTTCTGATGAAAGGTCATCAAATAAAAAGACAAGGAAAGATAAAGAGCCAAGGACTAAAGACCAGAAACCTGCTACGGAAACACAAACTCCTGCATCATCAGGCACAGAAAACCTTCAAGACCTTGCTAAAAGATTTGCCGTTGCTTGGAAAGGATCTCTTATTCTCAAGAATAGTGCYTTTCCAGTGCGCATGCATCTTGTTGGTGGAAATCCAGAAGTTGCTGACTCACTTCGTAATGATGGATCTTCAAAAAATGCACTAAGGATTACACAGCGCTTGCGTCTTGATCAACCAAAGCTTGAAGARGTGTCTCGTCGCATTAATACTGCTGGTGCTGCTGGCCATTGCTTGCTTTTAGCTTTACCTGGAGCGCAGACACAGGCATTGGATGTAAAAGAAGGTGAAGATTTACAACAAAGACCTCTACGAAACCTGATGAGTTATCTCAAACAAAAACAAGCTGCTGGAGTTATCAATCTTCCCACACTTCAAAGTTCATCAGCTAATGCAAAGGATGATTTGGGCGTTCTTCATGCTTTTCCACCTTGCCAATTTTCTCATGAGCACCTGTTGCGTATTGCTCCTCATTTGCCACAGGAACCATCCAAGGAAGATCACCTCGTCATTTTGCTTGTTCGTGGAAGTGCATAATGCTTATACGTCAAAATTGCCTTGTTATGATGAGTCTTTTCTACAATATTGCTATAATCAAAATGTGACTTGTATCAGACTGTTTGTGTCGTCACTTACCTGCATTTTATCAAAAGTCATTTTTCTTGCTTGAACTTCCTGCTGTTTTTGCTGCTTCAAGTTGGATAATCTGCCAAGAATCAATGAACTTTACCAACCCATCTAGATGTCTTGTTAATGGCTCATGGCCCATTGAAATGTTTCAGTGGACTGATTTCTGTCAATTATCTGGTTGACAAAGTGCTATTAGTATTATGAACACTAGCAATCTTATTTGTTATATCAAGATGATTTTAATGCTTGAAATATTCATGAGTTCTTACTTAAAATAATTAGAGTTGATTTATTTAGAGAAACCTGTGAAAACGATGGCAGATCAYCTCACCATTGTTTTCTTTTGTGTSTGTTTGACACATKCACTWTTAGATTAAGGTATTTTGTTTCTTTTTCTAACCAGTGAATAGATTTTAGACTAAACAAGTCTGTACACTCTAACTTGTTGTTCAACCTATTATCTGATAGTGAGTTTAAAATCTCTCTTKTATTCACTAAGCAAAACTCTAGATTCAAATTTTAAGTTTTCCATACATACCAAAGGGTGGTTGTCATTGGACAGAAACATTGATACTAAGAGTGTTTGGTAGTTTTGATAGTTTGATAGTGTTTTAGTTTTTTTATCAGTGCATGGCCGCTAGTGTACATCAACTTACATGTAGTTTAACAATTTAACAGTCGAATGAAAGCCACTCTAATGCAGTAGAGAGAACTTAGACCCCAATCAGAGAGCTGCAACATGTTTCTTAGATATTTTCTTGGAATTTCAAGGGCTCATGGATATTTTAGTAAAGTATTATTAACATTAATCATATAATTGACATGTAACTTTGTTAGGTAAAAAGTCTCTACAGTAAATCATGTTTGRTCAGAGTAGTATTTCAAATAATTACATGATATACTGTAATCCATTTTATTTCAACTAAAATCTAACTTTTAATCATTTTGAATCATTTCAGGAAGTGAATTACTTAATATTGTAGTTGTTGATAGACCAAAAGCAAAATGTCTAGTTTGATTCACTTTGTTTTTTCTTTCATCCAAAAGGATGAATTCCTAGTTTAATACTAAGGCAGTGATAGGTTATTTCTTACAGGAAATTTAAAACAGTWAACCAGATCATGGTTATAGGACTTGCACAATCACCTAATGTATATTTACTTTTATTCATGATTTTAAGACTGGTTTAAGGGATTTTATATAGAGTCGGTTTTCACAGACACAAAAGTGAAACGAGTTAATTTTAGTTTGTCAAAAATAGCATGTTAATATAGACATTTAGGTTGATAATTTCCATATGGTAAAGTGAATTGTAACACAGTGAGTTATGGCTTACTGCATGTATCGTGGCATCTATTGATGAAGTGATCCCAAGCAGTTCACTCATCTAGTATTGTGAACATTGTTAACTTATGTACTCATTAAACTCACCATCTGAAGTCAAAGACCATGCTATGGAGCATTAAATCGAAAACCACAAGCTTTGCTCTGTGGCATAATTCATCATCCTTCAGGATTGATCCAAAGCTATTGTATTTTGAAATTTTGGGAAAATTGTGTGCACAGAGTTGCCATAACTTGCTGGCTTCACCAAGTTTCTTGTCAACATGTGCTACGTATTATCTTTGGATGTAGTTTCGCCCTGGGTCTATTGATTATTCTAAGTGGAAAGTCAGTCCCTCAAACAAAACCCACCTGCAAGCATAACGTTTTATGTTTAAGTCGCTGCATAAGATACTATAACTTGTCTACAACAACAAAGAAGAATTGGAGGAACAAAGCACTWTGTCTTTTGGTAACCAAAGTAAATTGTATCCTGAATCAGGAATAAGTATGTTGTGGCCCATGGTTGCAAGCTATTTTAGAAATGTTTTTATAGAATAATTTATACATGGCGAATCGCTGGAAGATTTATCCATGCTTGAATAAGAAAACAACACAAAGCCTATTGTTGGTTACTCTTTAGAATTTTATACAAGTCAAAATGGCACTTGGAAGATTTTTTATTCATCATATGCACTGGAAAGGAATAATTTTTGACATAACTCGATTTATGAAGTCTTATTGGGAGAGATTTTTAACTGTTGGACCATTCTATGATGCCAACTGGAAGAGAACAATGCTTCTGGAACATGGGGTTGTCCAGTAGTTATAGACTGCTTTTACAAGGAGTCAAAAATGTTGGACAATTGGAAAACGTATTGCATGTCAAACTTTTTCAAATTGTCTTTGACACCATGTAAATGAAGGTCTACATTTTTATATTTTTTTTTATAAAATTTCAGTTTTTATTGCTTATTTTATTTATTTTTTGACTTAGCAAAGAAATAAATCTAAGGTATTTTTATAAGTTTATATAAAAACAACRGTTCTTGTGATTTATATTGCCATGATAGATCAGTAATATACACTTTGTATGGGTGGGTAGGGAGGGTAGGGAGGGTAGGAATTGAGCGAATGGTATTGAAAAATACTCTATTATAGAAGCAAATGGATTCAAAGGTTTGTATTAAGGGTTCATGCTACTATGGCTGTAATTGTAAAAATATTCACTATAAAAATCCAAAAATCAACTAATATCTTTAAGAATAGCTCTTGAAAATCGCATTTTTGGGATTTTGTAGCAAAACGTAGCATGGACCCTGTAAGGGAATGKCAGAGTTTTCAAACAAAAAAGAAAACAAGCAATTGTTATGAAATTATTTTACTGCTTGCAAAAGTACTTGGTCAAGCTGGGAAGGAAAAACTGTCAAAAATGAGAATTACTTCGATATCACAGTTTTTAGAATTTTTAGAATTAAATCTGAATGGGCATGTCCTGTAAAAGCTAGCCTGCGTAGCGGCCCTAAGGGGATTGGGGAGGGCCGGCCAGCCCTCCCCACTCCCCGCTCGGCCGGCCCTCCCCAATCCCCTTAGGGCCGCTACACAGGCTAGTAAAAGCTGTCAAAAAGTGCAAACCYGGATAACCCCCAATTATATGAAAATCCTGTGTTTGTGTCGGAGTTGGGTTAAGATAACTGGAATGATTTTCAAGATGGTGAAGCGGAAAACACAGCAAAGTACAGTAACTGGCATTTYGGTTTTGGGGGTTGGGGAGGGTCAAATCAGAGATAATAGAGAATGTAGGAGAGAGTTAGATAAGGGAAAAGTGTAGGGGGCATATCACCCCTGTCCACAGTCAGAAAGGCCACAGTCTTCAGGGTCTGAGATTTTAGATAAGCTGGTCTGAAATTCGAGGTATTTTTTGCCACCCCTTCTACAGGGACCTCCCATTTCTTCATTAGAAAATGTGGAAAGTAAGCTTTTACTATCCATGAAAGTCCCTTTAAAGTGCTAGGGAMAAAAATAATGGATTTAATTTGTGAACATAGAAGACACGTGACAGTAKAGGTAGTGTCGGGAAATTTGATTGACACTGGTAGCCAAAATCCCATGTTCCTTCAGTACTGTAATCATGTGAAGATTACACTAAGATATCAATAGGACACATAAAACATTACAGACAAAGGAGAATTTGGGTTACCAGTGCTGAAGTCCCCTGAATGAGAAATTATTAATAATGCTTTTATAACTTAAGCAAATATGCTATAGCTAAAATTAAAATCAGTCTATTCAGATTTCTTAGGTAGGCTTCCTACAGTTGTTTTTCGACCATACCTCTCATTTTAAATTCGCTTTTTGAAAATCTTGCTATGCACCGATTTGTTTCGTGTTTGGACCAGTATTATTAAAGCATTGACCAAAGTTTTGTTTGGCATAATATTTATGCATGAGTCAACGGTAACCCCGACCCCCCCCACCCCGAGACAAGGTGGGGATTAGAGGGGGATAGTGGGGGAATTGAACAATTATTATCCCCAACATGGTGTGGGATTGGAGCTTTTYAGAATGAACCTTCCCCGTGGGGATAGGGCATAGGTGGGGATTCGACAAGACCCGGCAATTTCTAGGACAGCGGTTGTCTTCAACAACATGCTCCATGCTTTAA